GGTCGGTCTTTCTCTGTGTGTCAGTAGTTCTCTCTCTGTGTGTCAGTAGTTCTCTCTGATTGGTCGTTCTCTCTCTGTGTGTCAGTAGTTCTCTCTGATTGGTCATTCTCTTTCTGTGTGTCAGTAGTTCTCTCTGATTGGTCGTTCTCTCTGTCTGTGTCAGTAGTTCTCTCTGATTGGTCATTCTCTGTCTGTGTGTTAGCAGTTCTCTGATTGGTCGTTCTTTCTCTGTGTGTAAGTAGTTCTCTCTCTGTGTGTCAGTAGTTCTCTCTGATTGGTCGTTCTCTCTGTCTGTGTCAATAGTTCTCTCTGATTGGTCGTTTTTTCTCTCTCTCTCTCTGTGTCAGTATTTCTCTCTGATTGGTCGTTCTCTCTCTGTTTGTCAGTAGTTCTCTCTGATTGGTCGTTCTCTCTCTGTTTGTCAGTAGTTCTCTCTGATTGGTTGTTCGCTCTCTTTGTCTCAGTAGTTCTCTCTGATTGGTTGTTCTCTCTCTGTGTGTCAGTAGTTCTCTCTAGCCGGGTTTGCTCAAAACTGGAATATCGCATAAAACATTTGCGAACAAGCATCGTTTCCATCCAACAAGTCAAAGAGAACAAAATCGTCACTTTCTGATAAACTGGCACTATAAATCACTAAGAAAAGTAGGAGAATATAATAATTTTCATATATATTAAATTACTTGCGTCTCAGAGTGAGCAGATGAAACACGAATGCTATCATTGCTTTCGGAGGTGGATGCTGCTGTTTAGGAACGCAGTCGTGTAAGACATTTCTGGGAGGCATTTTACAGAAATACTTTGATGACAGATTTGCTCGTACATTTCCGAATGACCATAACAACATTTCAGATGCTGTGGAATGAGATCAGTCCGCTGGTTAGTCAGGTTTTGCCGTCCCATAACGCAAAGTCACATGACTTTTTTGATGCGCTTGGAGGAATTTATTCGCAAAATGCATTTCCATCTCCCATTATTCACATCGACCCTTTTTTGCACAAGTCAAAAACCACCTCAAGCAAGCGTAAAACTTTTTTGCGAATTAAGGGATTTTTATTTGATATTTGGCATTTCCATCACTCGTTTCTCATGCGATACTTCAAAATGCGCATTAAAATAGGGTGATGGAAACATAGCTTCTGATTGGTCGTTCTCTCTCTGTGTGTCAGTAGTTCCCTCTCTGTGTGTCAGTAGTTCTTTCTCTGTGTGTCAGTAGTTCCCTCTCTGTGTGTCAGTAGTTCTCTCTCTGTGTGTCAGTGTTTGTCTCTGACGGCTGCTCCTCCTCCTCCTCAGCTGTGATGTCTGCGCAGGAGTGATGGTTTAGCGCAGCGGTCAGCCGCGGCGGAGCGTGGGATGTTACGCTGGACGGTGCACCTGGAGGGCGGCCCGCGGAGGGTCAACCACGCGGCTGTGGCGGTCGGACACAAGGTCTACTCCTTCGGAGGATACTGCTCCGGAGAAGACTATGAGACCTTGAGACAGATTGACGTGCACGTCTTCAACACGGGTTAGTTTGGTTAACCGCCCTCTACCAGCCGCTGCAAACCTGCATGTAAATGTGAGGTGAACTGATGCTCAGATTCAAACGAGCTCCACACAGCAGTCAAATTCAGATGAAAATCATCTGCTTTATGGAGGATAGACGCACAGAATAATACACTGATGATGAATGAAAGAAAAACAATATCAGCTGTTTCTAATGTCAGTTTTCTGGATTATAAGGTTGAATGTGCCATAGCTAGGCATATGACGTTATCAACTTTTCATGTTGCGATTAATTGCTAATGCTTTTATCACAGTATACGGTATTATCATATTGAAATGTAGTTGCAAAAAGTGGTCATAATACAGTATAACAGGTTTTTAAAATATATTTATTTATGAGTTTGCAATATAACAACAGTCAACACAATAAAAAAAAAATTCTACATTACATAGCATCAGAGTATACAAATATGAAAACATACATCATCAAATCCAAATTTTATTAACAAATTAAAACTGAAATCAAATGATAGCACATGAATGGTCAGTGTGAAAACAATGGATATTAAGTTATATAGGCACGAGTCAAAGGGTTCATACCAGGTCCAAAAAATATTCCATGTCTCTAAGATGATGTGGGTTCTGTTTTTTAAACTGTATGTGTGAGTGTGTATCATTTATGATATTTTTAAATAATTAAATTGTTGAAGGGTGTTCCTTTTTCCAGTTTATTAGAATACATTTCTTAGATATGTTAGAGATCAGACCTACCCTTTTGATTATCGTGATATATCGCATTGCTGAATACCGGCACATGTCTGGCCATAAGTTAGCTTTCCTGTACATCACGGGTTTGCAACACCAAGGTCATGGGTTCGATTCCCAGGCAATGCATGAACTAAACATGTGTGTAACTTGAATGCAGTGTAAGTTGGTTTGGATGAAAGCATCCGTGGAATGCATGAATGTAAGTGTAAGTCAGTGTGTGTGTGGTTCTTTCAGTGTCTCTGCGCTGGACGAAACTGCCGCCGGTGCGCACCGGAGGACGGGAGCACGCTCGGGAAGTGCCCTACATGCGCTACGGACACACGGCGGTGCTGGTGGAGGAGACGGTGTTGATCTGGGGCGGCCGGAACGACACAGAGGGCGCGTGCAACGTGCTGTACGCCTTCGACGTCTGTAGGTGTCCCACAGAATGAATGCTCTCAGGTTTATCTTCACTGTCTTACACTGATGTTTTAAGCCTTGTGTGCTGGAAATCCTTTACCTAACCCGGCCAAACATGGCCAGCCTTTTAAAATGCTTGTGAATCCCTTATTATGCTATATTATCACCAAATCTTACATTCAGTCTTTTTATCAACTTGTTTTCAGTCAGTCAGCACAGGTTTGTGTTTATTTTTAAAGCTGATGCTCCTGAGAGAGTGCTGACTGACTGAAAACAAGTTGATAAAAAGACTAGGCCTAATTGTAAGATTTGGTGATAATATGTGAGCCTGGAGCACAAAAGCAGTGTTAAGTCGCTGGGGTATAGTTGTAGCAATAGCCAACAATACATTGTATGGGTCAAAATTATACATTTCTCTTTTATGCCAAAAATCATTAGGATATTAAGTAAAGATCATGTTCCATGAAGATATTTTGTAAATTTCCTACCATAAATATATCAAAACTTAATTTTTGATTAGTAATATGCATTGCTAAGAACTTCATTTGAACAACTTTAAAGATGATTTTCTCAATATTTAGATTTTTTTGCACCCTCAGATTCCAGATTTTCAAATAGTTGTATCGCAGACAAATATGTAGGGAGGTTTCTTGAAGCGTCTTGGAGACACAGTTCTTCTGGATTGAGTCTGTCTCAGTTTGTTCTGTTTCTTCATGTCATTCCAGACAGACTGATGATGATCAGATCAGATCTCTAACTTAGTGTGGTGTGTGTGTGTGATAGTGTGTGTGTGTGTGTGTGTGTGTGTGTGTGTGTGTGTCTCCTCAGCTCAGCACCGCTGGTTCACTCCCAAGATCTCCGGGACGGTCCCAGGTGCCAGAGACGGACACTCAGCCTGTGTTCTGGGAAAGGCGATGTACATCTTCGGTGGATACGAGCAGCTGGTGCGTAACTGCAGAGATGGAGTGATTATAATCAGCTAACGAGCGCGTGACGAAGCGTCTGACCGTGTTTGTGTTCTCAGGCCGACTGTTTCTCCAATGAGATTCACAAGCTGGACACCAGCAGCATGTGTTGGTCACTAGTGAGCGCCCGGGTGAGTGTGATTCGCTCAGAAACCTCACTAGTCTCTTATCAACAGGTGTGCGCATGCATCATGACATCATCACTGTGCTGCAGCAGAGCATCATGGGATATAAGGTCTGCCTTATGCAAAAAAAAAAGCACAAACATCTTAAAATTGTATTTTTGCCAACTGCAGCAGAGCTGTTTTCTCCTGTGTGTTTTAGTGAATAAATATATATTTAGATTTCATTCTCGTCCATCCACATGCTTGGAAGAAAAGACTCATGACCTTCACTGCTGACCAAGCATTACTCGCAGTTTTAGCTCAGAAGAGGGATATTAGATGGTGGTATAATTCACTGTTTAAGAACGGATCTTTGATGCTCAACAGCATGATCTGTGTAATCAGCTGATTCTGTATTGAGACGCAGCCGGTGTTTGTGGTCTTCTGTCACTAGATGGCGTCATAGAGCTTCATCAGGTCCTGATCTGTGTGTCTATAGAGCATGATGTAATGGACTGTATGTGATTCTCACTCACTGTTACTGTAATATCAACAGACAGTGGTGTGAGTGTGTGTCTGTGTGAGTGAGAGAGTGTGTGTGTCTGTGTGTAAGTGCATGTGTGTGTGAGTGCATGTGTGTGTGTGTGTGTGCCACATCTGGTGTGTTGTCTGGCTCTGAGGTCTGTGGTTGGTCTCTCAGGGCACTCCGGCTCGATGGAGAGACTTCCACTCTGCTACCATCATCGGCACCAAGATGTTCGTGTTTGGAGGAAGAGCGGATCGATTCGGTCCTTTCCACTCCAACAACGAGATCTACTGCAATAAAATCAAGATCTTCGACACGGAGACAAACTGCTGGCTAAACACGGCGTCTGCACACACCAGCATGAAACAGGAAGTTGTTGTAACTCATGCATACAATGCCCAATCTGCCCTGGCCTGAACACATCTAAAGGCCAAGATTCAGTTATAGTCTGTTGGCAGTAGGACGTTTGGCACATATAAATGACTTGGATATATTCCTCCTATATTTTCCACTATAAATGCATATTGCCCACCGTTCGCTGTTTTCCTGAAGCCACCGGGTGCGAGGGCCCTTTCATCGCTGCTTGCAGCTTTAATGATATTAATGTCATTCATGTTGTTTGACATGATCAGGGCCAGTATGTTTGAGTTCATTCAGCAGTTTGAGCAGATGCTGATGCTGTTCATCTTCCAGCTCTGATGTCTGTGTTCACACACGTCTGTTCTTGTGTTCAGAGGCGTTCTCCTGGAAGAAGGTGGAGCCCAAGGGCAAAGGCCCGTGTCCCAGACGGAGACAGTGCTGCTGTATGGTGGGAGATCGCATCATCCTCTTCGGAGGAACCAGGTGAGATCCTCATGCTTCACTCGCTTCTGCTGTGTGCTTCCTTCCAAAGGGAGTTTACTGGGAAACAAACATGCACAAGTGATGCACAACCATGTGGTGTTGAGCGTAAAACTGCATGATCATCCGTCACATACATGACAGCGTTCAACTGCAGCAAATCAGTCTGAATGTAGAGACGCAGGATAAATATATGTCGAAATTCTAGAAAATCAAACTCAAGTCAAACTTTAAATGTTGACAAAACCTTGTTTGAAACCTTTGAAAAGAAAAAAGTTCTGGAGTTTAAAAAGCCTTGACATTTGAAGGTTTGTAGGCCAGATAGATAGATAGATAGATAGATAGATAGATAGACAGACAAATAGATAGATAGATAGATAGATAGACAGACAGACAGAGAGACAGATAGATAGATAGATAGATAAATAGACAGACAGACAGATAGATAGATAGATAGACAGATAGACAAATAGATAGATAGACAGATAGATAGATAGACAAATAGATAGATAGATAGATAGATAGATAGATAGATAGACAGACAAATAGATAGA